AAAGATGGCTGGTGAGAAATTGCAGATTACCTCACAAGATTATAATTGGGTAAAGGACTTAGATTAAATCTTTAAATAATAAGATTTCAATGAGTACATTTATTTTCATTGTAAATTATGAGTATTAAACATGAGGTTAAATGTCTGCAGGATGCATTTATATTTCTTCATAATGATATAGGTGAGAAAATGTTTTCTTTCTTACTTTTGGTTTTATTCTTACTAGACTGGTTTCATCTAGGGGGCTCTGAAACCACACAAAGTAATTAGGTTTCTCTGATCAATAAAAATGAAATGATGGAGGGGGGAATTTAATCTATAAAATTTTTTCAATAAAGTTGTTTTTGCTTATGTTCAAATTCTATCTTGTGATGTGATTTTTGTTATCAAAAAAGGTTTTTTTTTAATGTTTATTCATTTTTTGAGACACAGAGACAGAGGTGTGAGCAGGGGAAGGGCAGAGAGAGAGGGAGACACAGAATCCGAAGCAGGCTCCAGGCCCAACCTGTCAGCACAGAGCCTAATGCGGGGCTTGAACTCACAAACCATGAGATCATGACCTGAGCTGAAGTTGGACTCTTAACCGATTGAGCCACGCAAGCACTCCTCTTGTGATGTGATTTTTAAATCTTTATCATATTAAAAGTTCACATTTAATGATCCTAGCCTCAATATTTTTTATGAAATATTTTCTTTTTGCTCCATTTATGAATTTTGAAGCTTTTTTCAATTGTTGGTGCAGCTGAGATTACCTAGAACTTCATTGTCCAATATGATAGTCCTTAGCCACATGTGACTATTTAAACTTAAATTTAAACTAGTTAAAATTAAATAAAAGTAAACATTTAGTTCCTTAGTCACGCTGGTCACATTTAATATGTTCCTTAGGTACAGTTGGCAAAAATATAATTCAACCTCTTGGATTACTCCAAAAAATAAAAACTTTGTTCCTACAGCCTTGGTATCTATAACATAGGGATTTCTTGTAAATCATGGCCATATTTTCACTTTCTGTTCTTACCCATTTTACCTAAGGCTGAATTGTCTGCCTTACAGCTATTGATTTTTTTCTAAGACTGTGATTCTCATACATTTGATTTATGGGTATAAGAGCTTTTAAAAATTGGAAATAGGCTTTGAGATTGCGGTAGTGGGTCTAGGGCTGAGTCTGGGAATCTCTGTTTTCAAGGAGCCAGATTTAGGAATCATTAGCCTGGGGCGCACTAACAATTCACTCCTGCATTTTCTAAGCTTTACTTGTATATTCAAGTCCGATCACCAGATAGCTACATTTCCTGATGATATAAATTTGTCCCCTTACAGAAATATTCTTATAGGACTACAATTACATTTATTCACTGATTTGATAAAATATTTAAGTGCCTACTATGTGCCAGGCACTGTTCTAAGCATAGGGAGGGTACATCAGTGAATAAAACAGACACAAAACCCTGTTCACATGAACCTTATTAGACTACTGAATGTTTTCTTTACGTCCCGGACTTTTTATAAAAGAATCAAGAGCAGAAGTGGCTGTATGTAAAATGTCTGGTTTTGAGTTTTATGTCCAATAAAGACCTACTTGACAAATTCCACCCAGGAGTTCAGTGCTAGGAAAAGTTTCTAGTATGATTTGGCATGATCGCTTCTGTTAAAGAATGCTGTCTTGCTACGGGGGAGCAGTTGGAAGTCGAGTCATTCCCCTGATTGCCGCTGCTCCCCCATACCACGGTCTGTGTCCCTCCTCTTTTGTTCTTGATCTCTCATTCTTCCAGCAGCCCCATCTCGCCTCCCTCACATTCCGCCCTCATTTTAGAGATGCAGTTTTATTGTTAAGAGTGGGTTTGATTATAAGCAACCTTGAATTTCATTTTATAAGTAAATTGGAGAAAGGGGGGCATCTGAAGGGATGAAGCAAAGAATGCATTTGCTAAGACTGGTTCTGTGAACTTTACACAAGGCTGAAATTGTGTTCTGGAAGATACGGATTCTTACTCTCAAACTTAAAGTAGGCGTCTGTTTTTACAGAAGCTCTGTAAACTTTGAAAGTCCTTGCTGTTTCGACTTTTACACGTGATTATGAAGCATTTATATATTATAGATTTAAAAACTTGGTGGAGACCCTAGAGATCATCTAGTGCAATTATCTAATCTTATTGGAAGTGAGATCCTGGGTTTTAAATAATTTACCCAAAGACACTCGGCGAGAGTGTCACTGGTAGGATTAGAACTCAGTTTCCTTTACTTCCACGTGGTCCTCTCCCACCAGACTTTGAATTAGAAAATGCATCATGTCCTTTTAAATACGATAAATTTGGGGCACCTGGGTGCCTCAGTCGATTAAACGTCCGACTTCAGCTCAGGTCATGATCTCGCGGTCTGTGGGTTCGAGCCCCGCGTCGGGCTCTGTGCTGGCAGCTCAGAGCCTGGAGCCTGCTTCGGATTCTGTGTCTCCCTCTCTCTCTCTGCTCCTCCCCTGCTCATGCTCTGTCTCTCTCTGTCTCAAAAATAAATAAAAACATTAAAAACAAATTTTTAAATACGATAAATTTAAGAGACGTGTGTGTAAACTTTGTATTATTTTCACCCGGTAATACATGGTTTCTAACTGAACAGACTTTATTGAGTTGTCACTATGTAGCAGCCACTGTACTCACCATGGGGGCACGTGCAGTGGGGAGGCCAGCTTGTCAGCACGTGTGCACCAGACGGTGGAGACACTTTGCTGAGCTCCCTCATGAGCTCGCAAGCACCACGTGATGCTGGAAGAAAGAACTGTTTCTTACCCTCAAAGATTGCACCACCAGTTTTTCAATCTGTAATATGCAAATGCTTAATGAAGCCCAATCTAGAGACCTAATTTATATTTAATAAATGAAAACGTGATAGCAGTTGTATTTCAAGAAGCATTTGCTTTATAACCCACGTACTGTATTACATAGAAAATCTTGAGAAGCAAAGACAAATCTGTAACTAGAACGGTGGCACAACCCAGGAAGTTTAGAATTCTTTCTGCTTACTTAACAGTGAATGTTCACCAGAAACGCTAGTCTTGTCTGTGGTAAGGTCTTCATATCCACGTGGAGCATGGCAAAGGTTCATTAATGTGCACGTTCGTAGGTAATGGAGCTCAGTGTTGTTTTTCTACGTTTATTTATTTTGAGAGAGAGAGAGAGAGAGAACACGCCCACAGGAGAGGGGCAGAGCGAGAGGGAGAGAGAATCCCAAGCAGGCTCTGCACTGTCAGTGCAGAGCCCAACTCTGCCTGAACTCGTGAACTATGAGATCAGGACCTGAGCCAAAATCAGGAGTCAGATGCTTAACTGTCTGAGCCACCCAGGCACCCCGGAACCCAGTGGTTTTTAACCTTTTTGGGAATTTGAGGCACATATGCAACTTTCACAGTCGATTTTAAGATGTGCGTGCTGCCTCTGCCCCTGCCAAGCCCATTTGTGATCTCTAATTAACCATATCTGCATCTGTGGCTGGTGTGGGGGCTATTTTGAAAGAGCCTTTCAAGTGGTTCTCATCCATGGTGCACTTCTGCTACTGACGAGACCCTATTATTTCCCTCTGGTATGTTGAAAACCACAGATGTAATATTTATCATACACTGTAATTATTTACATATTATGTGCTTCTCAAAAATCTAGACTTTGCAAGCCTCGTAATCGTCACTCACACATTGTATCCTGGGTCCAAAATGATACTGTCTGTTGGCCCGATAATACTATTAAATATTATTAAGTAAATAAATAAAATATAAAAATACATAAATAAAATTTAAAAGCCATTCTATTCTAATAAATACCAGAAGATAGTAGAGAGCACATTAAAGTCTGTTGCAAGCAATCTAGATTCCAAAAGTCCTGGTTTACAACTAAAATTAGGGGTGCATCCTTAAGCAGGTCACCTGGTCTTGGGCCTCCGTTCCTTCATCTGTAAAAGTAGATTGTGGTAAATTCAAATTTATAGTCTCTAAGGACTCAGCTTTACACTTTGTTAAGTGAAATAAAGCAGGAGGCTGGAAGCGAGATCCGGATTCTGCACCAGTGTATATTCTTGTATTTCCATAAGAGTGTGGCTGTGTGATTCACTTTCTATATTTATTTCTCACAAAATGTAAATAAGATGCCCTTTAAGTCTCACTCAAACTGGGGACTAGCATCCCTGGTCTCTCCCCTGAAGTTGGGTCACCAGGTCACGTACCTGTCTCCATATCCTGTGACGTCTCTGGTGCCCCCTTGAGGAGAAGGGCCCATGTATTTTCATATATGTGCTACCGAAGGGAGCACAGGACTGTGTATTTTAGACTGCATATCTCCAGTGACTAGCACAGTGTTTGGCACATAAAAGACAATAAAAGTTTGTTAAGTGAGTAAATTTTTTTTTAACTTTGAGAAAGTTTATATAGGTGAGTACATTTTTAATTATACCATCACAAATCAGTTTCCAAAAGGATATTGTAATTTAGAGATGTTTTAACTGGCTCACCAGATTTTTGATCGTCCTCCCTAAAAAATCGCTAAGCATCTATTATATGGCAGACACTGGAAATTTAACTCCTCATGGGGCTCAGAGCTTGGCAAGAACGACAGAAAGATGCATGTTATTAATTCTAGTTGCAGTGAGGACTCCTATAACACAAGTATAAGCAAAATATAAGTAGACACTAGATGTTTAAACAAATAACACTTGTACTATGACTCATATTTTGAACTATGGTAAATATTTTTACTCGTTGAACATGATTTCTTTGTTTAATTCCAGCTCTTTTTATAACAAGTCTCCTTACCAGTGATGACAGATGAGCCCGTGTCGTTTACGCATTGCAGGTCCTTTTTTTAATGAGATCTAAAGTAGACTAAATTTCTTTTTCGCACTGTGTCTCCAAATATTTTAAAACATGCATGGAATATTGGCCCAGATGTATCTTGTTCTGAATTATTGTTGCATATATTCTGGCTTTTTCTGATTAAGTGAATTTTTGCTTCTTTTAGGAGGATTTTCTATGGGAGGGTGCATGGCAATGCATTTAGTGTACAGAAATCATCAAGATGTGGCAGGAGTATTTGCTCTTTCTAGTTTTCTGAATAAAACATCTGCTGTGTACCAGGTAAGTTCCAGATTTTAAAAACAAAACAAAACCAAAAAAAAAGCGTGAAATAATCACACATTGAAACTAAAACAAAATTGATCATGAAGCAATTGCAGTCGATGCACAGAGCACTCCTGGGAATCCATCCCCAATTAGTCATAATGAATATTAATTCCAGCTGGTCATTAATGTTCAGGAAATACCATAGAAAGAATATTATTAAGCATGATGTCCAAGAGGAAAGGATAAAAATCATATGTATCCCTTACACATAATAAAAATAGAGATGATTATAGCCAGGCTTGTTTTTTTATGTCATGAACATAATCGAAACAAATGACCAATTACATTCCCCGACACCTGTCTCATAGCAATATGCTAATATACGAAGCGATACTATAGTGTTGTAACTTCATACCAGAATTAGAAACAGCAGATACAGAAATGAAAAAAACTAGAATGTAATTTTTCTCTTGATGGTGCCTGCATTCCTCCCTCTCTCCACTCTCTATGTAAAGAAGTTTGTCTTACGGAGTCACACGGTTTCTTCAGGAAATGCTTCGACTGTGTTTGAGACGGTCCTGTATGGAGTCAGCGCTGGTCACGTACAACCATAGCTCACTTGGTGCCAGCAACTAGCTGAGTCCCCAGTCCAGGACCACCAGTGTGCACCTTAGACCACACCACCACTGCCTCTTTTCCCTTTAAATATTGGAAGTTTTCTGCCCCGTCTGATTTCCAAGAATGATGTTCATCAATGAATTTCTTAAACTTTTCCATTTGTACATCCTGTTCTTCAGGCTCTTCAGGAAAGTGACGGTGTACTCCCTGAATTATTCCAGTGTCACGGCACTGCAGATGAGTTAGTTCCTCATTCTTGGGGTGAAGAGACAAACTCCGTGTTAAAGTCCCTAAGAGTGAGCACGAAGTTTCATAGTCTCCCAGGTGTTTACCATGAGCTAAGCAAAGCTGAGCTAGAAAAACTGAAGTCATGGATACTTCAAAAGCTTCCAGGAGAAATGGAGAAGCAAAATGAATGAATCAAGATTGATTTGTTGACCTACCTGTAATGTCTTTGTGAAAAGTGGTTTTTACTGCCAAATTATACTTTGGTAAGTGATAATTAAAATAGTATTATCAGTAAACAATACCAAGTTTACTGACTTATTTACTGGTTATTGAAATGCTTAGCACCACAAAGAGTAGCATCATCTTATTCATGGTAAATATTAATTTAGACAGACATCTGTGTGTTATTTTTCAGATACATTTGTAAATATTTGGAGACCTTTTAAGTAGTTAAATGATTAAATTTTAAAAATAATGTAAAGTTGGTTTAAGTAAGAGCAATGAGAAAACATGAAAAGGCTTGACATGGCATTTTATTTACAAGTGTCCTATTTTGTTTCCAAATATTCAGGAATATTTTAGATGTGTTTATTATTGATTCCTGATTTAAATCCATTGTGGCCAGAGAGCATATTTTGTGTTACTGTTTTATCTGTATTCATGAAGGTTATTGGCTTGAAGTTTTGCTATTCAATTTGTTTTGTACATTTTTTGGTCTGGTTTTGGTATTAGGGTAATACTGACCTCGTAAAATGAATTGGGAGGTGTTTTCTCCTCTTCTGTTTTTTTTTGGGGAGAAATTGTATAGAATTGGCATTAATTTTTACTTTAAATTTTTGATGAAATTCTCTAGTGAAACCTTCTAGGCCTGGAGATTTCGTTTATCTCTTGACAGTGTACCTACAAGTTTATTATAAACACCTCACACTTAGTACAAGAACCTTCCATTTTCCCCTTCCTGGTCTTTATGCTATTTTTCACACTTTACTTATAAATAGCATGTACCATAAATCTCACAACACATTACTACTCTCTTATTTAAAGTCAGCTTTCCTTTAAATCAAATAATGACGAAAAAATCTTATATGTATACCTGTGTAGTTACCACTTCCAGTGCTCTGCAGTTATTTTGTGCTGATAACGTCTTTCTGGTATCCTTTTCATTCTGCCTGAAGGACATCCTTTAAATAATTCCGGTACAAATCTGCTGGCAATGGATTCTTTCAGCTTATATGTCTAGGAAAGCCTATATTTTGCATTAATTTTGAAAAGATACTTTCACTGGGTATGAAATTCTGGCTTAACATTTTTTTCTTCAGTATTTTAACTCTTTTTTTTTTAATGTTTATTTTTGAGAGACAGAGAGAGAGAGAGAGAAACAGAGCACAAGTTGGGAAGGGGCAGAGAGAAGTAGACACAGAATCCAAAGCAGGCCCCAGGCTCCAAGCTGTCAGCACAGAGCCCGACGCAGGGCTTGAACTCATGAACTGTGAGATCACGACCTGAGCCAAAGTCGGATGCTTAACCGACTGAGCCACCCAGGCACCCCTTTTCTTCAGTATTTTAAACATGGTGTTCCACTATCTTCTTGCTAACTTTATTTCACACAGGAAATCTGTTGTTATTATCTTTGTTCTTCTACATCTAATTTTTTGGTTTTTTACTCTTGCTGTTTTTAAGAGTTTATCACTGATTTTGAACAATTTGATTGTGATATATATTGGTCTGGTTCTTCATGTTTCTTATCCTTGTGGTTCCCTCTAATCTTTTTGGGTGTTTCTTTCATTTCAGATACTCTCCTCACATGCACGTGGTGATTAGTGCTCTAAGTAACCAGGTAGACCATCTCTGGTTCTCTGGAGTTCTCCTTCCATGTAACGTACTCTTCCCTGGGACACTGTCTTACAAACTCTAACCAAGCTGATCTACTCAGACTCTTAGCTCTGCTTCTCAACATGGGAGTCCTCCAAGCTCCACCCCCTCAGCTCTGTGGCCTGGGAACTCTCTCAAGGCAACAAGCTGGGGCCATCTGTAAAGCTCACCTCATTTCCTTCCCTTTCTGTCAGAGAGCACCGTCTTTTACTGCCTGATTGATGTCCAGTATTTTGAAAAAGTTTGTTTCCAGTATTTTGGCTTTTTTTTTTTTCTTGGTTGTTTCAGATGAAAGAATAAATTCCTTCCTTGTATTATGTCAGTGGCTGGAAGCTCCACTAAATTATCCTTTAAAGAGGTTTACCTTTCTTTCATTCTTTTTATTTACTTTTCTTCAGTGCCCTTCATTCCTTAATGTGGTTTCAGATTTCCATATGCTATCATTTTCCTTCTGCCTGAAATACTTCAACATTTATGATAATGCAGGTCTGCCACTATAAAATCTTTCCATGTATGGCTGAAAAAGTCTTATTTTGCCTACAGATTTTTAAAGATATATAGAATTCTAGGTTGACAGGGTGGTTTGTTTTTTTTCCTTTCATTTTATTATTATCTTTTTTAACGTTTGTTTTTGAGAGAGAGAGAGAGAGAGAGAGAGAAGAGGGGAGGGACAGAGAGAGGGAGACACAGAATCCGAAGCAGGCTCCAGGCTCTGGGCTGTCAGCACAGAGCCCAACACGTGACTCAAACTCATGAACCGTGAGATCGTGACCTGAGCCCGATGTCAGATGCTTAATTGACTGAGCCACCCAGGTGCCCCTTACTTTCATTACCTTAAAGATCTTACATTACTGTCTTCTAGTTTGCATTTTTTTGTACATCTTTTTCTTTAAAAATTTCTTGTACAAATTTTTCTTTAAAAATTTTTTTAATGTTTATTTATTTTTGAGAGAGAGACAGAGACAGTGTGAGTGGAGGAGGGGCAGAGAAAGAGGGAGACATCCGAAGCAGGTTCCAGGCTCTGAGCTGTCAGCACAAAGCCCGATGCAGGGCTGGAACTCATGAGCTGTGAGATCATGACCTGAGTGGAAGTCAGAGGCTCAACCGACTGAGCCACCCCGGCGCCCCTTCTGCTGTTTTTCTAATCTTTTTTCCCCTGGCTGCATTTATAATTTTCCCTATCTTTAGTTTTAAGCAGTTTGATTATGACACGCTTTGGTGTTGTTTTCTCCATTTTCCTTGTGTCAGGAGTTTGTTGAGTTTCTGTTTTTTAGATCTGTGGATTTATAGTTTTCATCAAATTTAGAGACATTTTGGCCACAGCGTTTTCAAATCTTTGTCTCTCCCTCTTCTCTTTTTTGGGGACTTCAGGCTTACTGATACTTATTCCTTTTTCCTTCCCTTTTCCTTTTTTTTTTTTGTTTTTTTTTTTTGTTTTCCTTTTTTTTTTTTCATTCTTTCACTCTGCATTTCATTTTGGATGGTTTCTGTTGCTGTGTTGTTGAGTTCATTGATGTCCTGCAATGCTTCATTTGTTATTAATCCTATCCACTTTATTTTTTACCTCAGATACTGCACATCTCTAGAAGTTCTGTTTTCTTTTACTTGTTGCATTTTATATTTAATGTGCTCATTCTCCACCTTCTTGAATATATGGGACATAATTAAAAAATAGTTGTAATATTCTTGAGTCAATCATCTCTGTCATTTGTTGGTTTGTTTCTATCAATTAATTTCTCTTTTCATTAAGGATGATATTTTCTTGCCTTCTTAGTGTGCTTCATGATTCTTTATTAGCTCCCAAATGAGGTGAGTTCTACCTCATGAAGTGCCAGACCATTTGCATTTCTATCAATACGAGCTGTGTCACAGAATGCAATTAAATTACCTGAAAAGTACTTAGAAACAGTTTGATCATTTCAGGCTTCCTTTCTGGGGAGGTTTCAGAGCAGCGTTTCTCTGGGACTAATTTTGCCTCACCACTCAAGCAGTACATTCTGGGTAATCCAGCTGACACCTGCCGGATCCTGAGGTTTTACACTCTGACTAGTGGAACTCAAACTTCCCAACCCTTTGTGAGCCCCAGCAATTGTTCCTTCTGGTCCTTTCTGGTGGTTCATACTCCCCTCACATGCTTCCGATGGTTTGTACTCACGAAGAGGTGAGGTGTAGGGGGCGTGGGGGGGGGGGGGGCTCTGCAGGTCTGTGGCACTCCCCGTGCGGCTCTCTCATGCTCTGCTCTGTGAATTGTAAGCTCCTCAACCTCTTCGGACGCAGGCTGTCCTGGCTCTGTCTCCTCTGCGGGCTCCACTGGGGTCTCCCTCCCCCCCACTGCAGCCAGGATGCTCCCTTCACGCAGTAAGCTGGGCCCTTGCAGACCTCGCCTCGTTTATTCTCCTTCTTCAGGAGCTGTCCTGTGCTGCCAGTGTCCAGTGTCTGAGAGCATGCACATGGTTCCACTGTGTCGTCGTTTCAGGTCGAAGAATAGATCTGCCCCATCTTAGGCATCGTGGTCATAGGCAGAAGTCTCTTTATTTGAAGTTACCGACTCTAAATGTAAAGAGGGAGGGTGAGAGAGATACTGATAATTTAATAATATCCAAAATCTTTTCAGAGAAGACTGTGCAGGGTTTTAATCATCCCAAGCTTTTAATGACCTTCACCTCCTTGAAACTTTCAAGGCCTTGGCTTGAATATACACGGTATCACTCGTGTTTAGAGCCTTCATGGCTGCATTATCCTAAGAGTACCACACATACGTGGCATAAAGAAGGGCATTGGGGCACCTAGGTGGCTCAGTCCATTAAGCATTTGACTCTTGATTTTAGCTCAGGTTGTGATCTCATGATTCGTGAATTCAATCCCCATGTTTGGGACTCTCTGTCTCCCTCTCTCTCTTCCCCTCCCCCAATTGCTCTCTCAAAACAAATAAACATTTAAAAAACAAAAAAGGCATCAGGCCTATACATGTCAAGTGTATACATCCCAAATATAGTATAAGGGAAGGAATCCAGATTTTTTTTTTACGAATACCTGTCCTGTCACTTAATAATTCTGGCATAAGCCTCAGCCTCTGCTATAGTATACTCTTCTGTGAAATTGTTGTCTGAGGATCAAGCATAGAGCATATGTAAAAGTCCTTAATAAAATGTAAAGGTAAACAAATTTAAAGTATCACTAGTATTGGTTAGTATGGTTATAAATCCATCTCCACAAATAGATCTATGCGTGGAAGTTATATCTAAAATTGTATGTGGATAATCTCCAGTCTAATTCTGGTCCCCTACCCATTGGGCTGATAGGATATCCATTGTGTTATCATGAGCATATGTTCCCAGGGAGGCCCTCCAGTCTCACTGACCTTGAGATACCTATTGTCCATGTGTGGGTGGTCTCTTAAATCCCGATTTTTGAGCCTGAAAAAATATACTAAGCCTGGAAACACCAGGGTTTAAGGTTTTATCCTCCTAAAGAAACCACTCAGTCATTCCTTCCACGTCCCATCCCAAACCCTTCTGTTGCTTTACCCACGTAAACATTTCTGAAAGCAAGGGAGAAAAAAAAATGGCAACAAGAACAAAACATAAATCAGTATCACAATAAATTCTATATGTTCATGTTGGGGAGACTGGAATTTTGCAAGGGAAGAGAGAGAAAGCTAGGATATGAGTGAAGGGAGACTTGTACTTTTTACTCTATTTCTTCTGTTTGAATTTTTATAATGCACTTTATTATTTTTATGATCTTAAATTAAATGTTTATTGATTGTATTTTTTCTCAACTGAAATCTGAATAAGAAAAATCATCATCAACAATAAGGAACTTAAATGTATTCTTTATAAGAAGCTGAGTATTCCAATTGAAGTGTAACAAAATGAACTGAGAACAAAATATAAAGCAGACTGACAATTCATGGTACTTGACACATAGGGGGAAAAAAAAAAAAAAAAACGGTCCAGATACCATTTAGCCAGAATATATTTAAGTAAAGTCTTTATCATATAATATGTATTTCTTGGGGCACGTGGGTGGCTCAGTTGGGTAAGCATCCAACTCTTGATTTCGGCTCAGGTCATGATCGCACAGTTCTTGAGTTCAAGCCCTGCATCCGGCTTTGTACTGGTAGCAGCACAGAGCCTGCTTGGGATTCTGTCTCTCTCCCTCTCACTCTGCACCCTCACTCACTCACTCACATTCTCTCTCTTCCTCTCTCAGAATAAATACTTTCTTTTTTAAAACAGGCATTTTTTGGTATGAGAGGACAGAATTAGCGCAGCCATGCAAACATTTCAATACCCACAGCATGCAAATATCTCAAGAAAATTCAGATTATAAGATATATAAAGACAGTTGGTTCACAAGACTTTGACTCTGAGTAATCTTAACACACAAAG